GTCATTCGAATACATTCACCCACATTTTCGGGTGAAACAAAATCAAGAGCAACCTTTATACAAGACTGCAAAGTTGAGACAATTTTGGGAAAAATAAGGAGTGCAAAATGGAAGATGATTTGAACTACTAAAACTAAGCTTTAAAAAGTTACGGACTTATGTAAGGAGAGCTATTGATTCTGAAAGTATAACGGAGCAAATGCTTATTTATCAGCATCACAAAAGGAGTAATCAAACCATACTTTAATATTTCTAACTTGATGAGGACACCCAGCAGGAATGAAAACTGCTTCTCCAAGTTTCTGGATGAACGTCCAAGGTTCAACACCTACAAAAGCAGGAGACCAAAATAAGATGTCTAGAAAGAGTTTTAATGCTGATTACACTGCCGTGGGTAACACACTAACCAAACTCCTCTTTGAGCTTCCTCTTATGGTATGTGTTCAAGTAGAAAACTTGATCGTGGATTGGGTGAAATACCTACAAGAGAAAATTTCAAAAATATTTGGTTATAGTTCCAATTAGCCTGAACTAGCAAACTATAACTTCCAAAAAACACACCCTGTCTCGTTGGGTTTGTTCAACTTGATAAGGCATGAAGTTTAAACAATTGCAAAACTGTGTTGTTGAAGTTTGTTTGGAAGAAAGAAAACATATGAACCATCAATTTTTTTTCTTAAATGGAAATTCAAAAAGTTTTTGGGACAGATCAAAAGGGAAAGTTAGAAATTTCAAGGATGGGAGTATGGAATAACATAAATAAAACAAATTAATGCCTAAAATTGAGCTTACAAGAAAATAAGAAAATATTATATCTGATATACAAATAAGAGTTTAAAATGAATACTTTTTCTTGCCAAGGAAAGAGACTGAAACAAATGTATAGTTTGCATTAAGTTCGTAATCACCTGCTCCACTGGTTCTGAACGTAGATGCCTAAATTCCTTATGGTGCCTTCTAAGATATTTCTCAAGCTTGTTAACATCTTGTCGCCTGAAAATGTCCCAGACTGCACCTCCATCTGTTGCATCCACCTGATGTACATTCATGTAAAAAAGAACAATATCATTCAAAGGTGCCATCAATCTTATTAATAACATCTGAAAAAACACAGCATCCTGCACAGTCTGTTTCAGCTTCATTCACCATAGAATTGTTAACGTCATTTGTTGGCCCATTGTTGGATGATGCAGACTTGAAGTTATCTATAGGCACCAGATCTGGGCTCTCAGCCCCTTCATCTCTACCAACAGCAAACAACTCTTTTAGGTTTTCAGCATCATACTTTTTCTTCAACTTTTTAATTTTAGGAACCTGAGAATCCTGTATGCGCACTTCGGCAGTATGCATCAAAACATTTACCTGAATGATTACCCATTGTTAAAATATGAAAGTGTCGATTTTCTCTGCATGAACGTGCACATGCATGTTTTTATAATTGTTTGAGCAACCATTTTCTTTCATTGAGAACAGCAACTTCATGCCACTAACGTTTTTCAGAGTACTTTGCACTTTTTTGGTAGCCATTTTCATTCATTGTGAATAATACATTCTTAACAAGCCAAGAAAATAACCGTTTGATGATATTAGAGACATTATACAATAGAATGAAAATTATATACCGCATCAGACATGTCACAATGAAGCTTGGTCACGGAATCTCCTCGCCCAAGTTCTTCCACAAACCCATATGCTATATAAGTTTTAGGTCCCAAGTCTGGCTTCAACGCTTCTTTTGGTAGTTTTGTTGCAGTATTAAGAATACCAGAATAAGGATGTGTGTACTCCTTGTATGGCAAGGCTCTAATGAATTCTGCACAATGACGTGGCAACCGCTCTTCAAATAAAGTAGATGAGGGCCAGTCCTTTAGCTTCAGCACTTCAGGCCATCCATTTGAATGCATCCGACCTTCATTATACCCCATAAAAAAGGTATGATTATTAATTTGTACCTGCAAGTCCGGGAAGCAAATTGACAATGTTAAAGAGTATATATTTAAAAATAAAATTTAACAGTGTCTGTTTAATACCAAAAGCATAACAGGCTTTCTTATAGAATGTTAATTAAGGTAAACAAAAGCAAGGTGGATATACTGTATATAGTTGATTATAAATGGCCCAGCAAGGCAGATATACTATACATAGCTTACTATAGTGGAATCTCTTATTCTCTTAATCAGTTATTGCCAACATTTATAACGGTTTCTAACAGAACAACATGAAGCAATTAAAGAAACTGCAGAAGCTAAGAATAATATATAAGAGAGATCATAACACATACCTCACACCAATCAAGGCAATCGATCGCTATCACTGCCAAATCTGATGCACCTTCCTTGATACTTATATTGCGAAAAGCACGCCACATGACCATAGGTTCCCAACTTAGACCGGATGTGAATTCAAGAGCATTTCTAACTATCACAGGCTCTCCCATGATCCAATGTCTCTGAAAGTGCTCAAGGTCACCATTCTGAACGTCATTTGCTGATGGGCAATACAAACAGTTGTCATTAGAATCTTCTCTGGAGGCAGCTTTCCTAACATTTTTTGCACCATTAGCAGTTTCATCTCTGAAACAAGGACACTGCTCCTTAGGAATTTGATGCTCATTGGAACAGCCATTAATTTCAAGTAAGCTTTCTACTCTCTTCATTGTCTCAGAAACCCAACTTTCAGGTAAAAAAT